TGAATCGTAATAACAAGAACCAAATAAACGTTTAACTATAGCTGCTGCTACAATTGGAATAGGCTATAATGCAGTAAAAGGAATAATGTCAACATTATATCTATCAATGACAACTGAAAAAGCATTTTTACGACACTTGCATAAGTATTATGATGCCTTATATATTTTTGCAAAAAAAATTCAGATAATTATTGATGATTTAGCATACAAAAAACAACAAGCAGAATGAAATAATGAACATTACTGTGTGATTAGATGGAGGCATTGTATTTATGGTCGATGTTGAATCTGGAATGTGTATTGATTATGAAGTTCTATCCTTATTTTGTGATATATGTAAAATGAAAAAATCAAAACTAACTGAAAAGCAATTCATTAAATGGTAGAAAAAATATCAATCTTTTTGTTAGAAGAAATGTACTGGAACATCTAAGTCAATGGAAAAGAAGGTACACTTAGATTATTTCAACGTTCATTGATTAATGGTCTTCGTTATAAATATATAGTATGTGATGGTGATGCCTCTGCTTATGAAGCAGTAAAATATCATTATATTGAACGACAACAACAAACATAATCAGAAGAAAAGAAATTGATTAATTCATTAAAAGGAGCGGAAGATTTAGGTGATAAACACTCAAATGATGAAGGTTCGAGCGAAAATTCAAATAATGAAAGTCCAGTTAATGAAAATATTAAAGAAAACAGGGATAAATTAACAGCAACAAGTATTAAAGAAGAAAACTGGGACAATGATGATTAGGAAAATAGTAATTGTAGTGATAAGTCAATGGTTGAAGAAACCACCGATGACTATCAAATTTATGAAACTTCTACAAATACATATGATGATTTATTAGTTATTAAAGAAGATTGCATAAATCACATTGGAGAACGAGTAATGAAATACTTATTGGAAATTGAAAAGAGGTAAAGCTCGACGAATTCCAGTGTTAAAAACAACGAAAAAAGGTTTTCCATCATTATCCAAGAAGCAATATGTAGCAAAGCAACAACTGTTAGATTATGGTAAAAAGTGGGGTGGTGGAGTTGGACGAATGACAAATTCAATGATGAAAAAAATTATCCAATAGTTATGGTCTTGCTATAAGACAAGCTAGCTCATTCTCTATTAGTAAGTAATATAACTAATATTACTAATAAACTATATTTTAAGAGAAACATTGACAGAGCACTTTTTTTATGTATGACAGATAAAAAAACAGCTTGTTAGCGCAGTCCCTTTGGGGCTGAAATGTGGAACTCACATACACTCTAGCCTCATTAAACTAATTCAAAATACGTAAAGTGATAAATCTCTCATAGACTATAGCTGTTTTGCACGGTGATCGATGTCTAGAATAATAACTTCTCTAATTTCTGCATTTCGAACGGAATTTTTTCATTTTTCTCTACGAGCGCCCTATTTTTTGTTTGCATTGTTGCTATTCGCTCATTATTTTTCATTTTTTTAAATTCGTTTTTCTTAATGTAATTCTCTTATTATTATAATTATTGAACTAATTGACAAATAAATCTGTTTTATGTATTCATGATATCTAGAGCATACCTTATGCAATAGCATATATATTAATCAACTCACAAATAATGCTACTCATTAGTTTTCAAAACTGTATGTCAATCAATTTTGAAAAAACTTTTAAAACTTTTCCTATAGGCATCCTGTTTTTTTGTTGGCATTGTTGCTATTCGCTCATTGTTTTAAATTTTTTAAAATTCGTTTATCTTAATTTATCATTCTTATTATTATAACCATTGAATTGATTGACAAATAAGTGTGTTTTACATATCTATGATATCTACAGCAGATCTTACACACTATCATATATATTAATTAAGTCACAAATAATGATATTCATTATTTTTCAAAATTATAACTTTATCAATTTTCCAAAAAAACACTCGAAAATCTGATACCTTTTATTATTGGTTGCTAAGGTCTGTAATAGGGAATGTCTGTAATGGGGGGATGTCTGTAATGGAAGGATGTCTGTAATGAGGGGTATGCCTGTAATGTTCTCTTCCGTTGCTATGGTGTCTGTAATGGGGAGAGGGGGGGGGGGCCGCAAAAACTTGACCTTAAAACTTACTCTCACTATTTTCTTCGAAAATACACGTGAGTTCCACAAAATGAACGTAACATTAGATATAATGCAACAGTACTGTCAAGCAGCATTTTATCATTATATGAGGACGAAAAATCATGATGAAGAAGAACAACATAGATTGTGTCCAAGAACAAAAGATACATGGTGCTACTTTCAGAAAAACAAGTTCTTAGTAAACAATAATAGTGACAACGTAAAAAATAAGAAAACTCACCAATATCTTGATTCAATTTTTCGAGACATATTACGACCAATGATTGATAAATTAACATCAAGAAATTTATTACGTCGTTGTTTACGTGCAATCACCCAAAACTCTAATGAATTATTAAATTCTATTGTTTGATGCGTATATGTCCTAATTTGCTTCTCGATCTGCTATTTATACAATAGTTATTTGTAGTAGAGATATGCCAATTCCAATTTTTGGCTTCGATTTGATCCAGATTTGACTGGGTTGGATTTCGATTTCACTGGGCTTGGATTTGAAAAGATTTGACTGGATTTGGGTTTGACTAGGTTTGGTTGTGGTTGGATTTGGATTCCACTGGATTTGGAACTGGATTTAGTCTTGAAAATATTGCTGTCGAATTATCAATTTATGTATATATATTCTCACTATTAGTAATTCTACAACAACCAAATCCAGCCCAACCCAAATCCAATTCTAGGGAAAATCCATTTGGTTTTAAGCATTGAATTTCACTGAAATTGGGTTTGGTGCATGCCTAATTTGTACTTTTTCTTACAGGAATAACTTACGCAAATCAAAACATCGTGGTTTTCGTTCAGTACGAGGTAGTGCTGCTCTTGCTACGATATTTTTCGATCATGGACGAACCAGATTAACTAATTTCTTCAAAGAATGTGGCATTAGTCTTAATACGGCGTTATTTGAACATATCAAAGCAGAGAACTGCGCAAGTACAAGTACAACTTGTACCACTCGGTTCACATTTAACTATGTACCACCTTATATCGAGTACATGTATCGATATAATAACATCTATACCGGGAAAAACCTCGAATTCTAGAATTCGTGTATCATTTTGCACCACCATGTACCATCTTGAGCGTGTGGGTGTGAGTGTGTGTAGAGATAATTCAGATCCACACCCACCCACACCCACATCCACATCCACACCGGCAGCCACACCCTCACTCCCATACCCCCAGCCACACCCACACCCTTACAGTTAAGGAAAAAATCATGATTCAAAAACAAGATTTTTTTTCTCTTCTATCTTTATTTCTTCTCTACTTGTTAGTAGACAGCATTAGCTTGTTCGGGACGAATTATAGAGGACCTTGAAAACCTAATCAACACGGATAACATTATGTTTCGGTCTTACACTAGTGAAAAATATTATCACTCAGAAAGCCAATCCTTTTTCTCTTCTTCTCTTCTTTCTCGCTTCCTCCTTTCTCTTTCTTTGCTATCTTAATAGTACCATACTTAGGTAATTTTAATGTATTAACTAAGACAACTATTCGATGATTGAATCAGGCTTCGTAGTTGTTATATTTCCTATACATAGGAAATATAGGAACTATAAAGCCTGGATTGAATAAATTATCCATCAGTTATATATGTACCCAGTGGAAATATTACCCAGTCTCCAGTTCTGAATTAACACTGCTCCATATCGAATTCGGGTGATTCTGATGGTTATAAGTACTTTCAGGTGATTCTATTGACTAGAATCAGCTGTTTTGCTCTTAGATTACCTTCTTTCAAATTTATTAAGCAAGTTCTACGACAAAAAGATTTTTTAATAATTAACTTATGGAACCGTTTTTAGTCTATTCCTAGTTTTATTTAGTAATGATCTTTCCTCTCTCTCTAGCGTTGATGTAGTAAGCCTTTTTTACTTTTCAATAGAACATGTTTTTCTTTGTGAACATTAATTGTTTGTCGCTTCTATACATTCTTTATTTTATATCTTGTGGTTTTTATATTGTTAAAGAAGAAACCAAAGTTCACGAAACAATATCTGCATCTCATTAAAGCATAAAATCAAAAAGAATAAAAAACAAAAAAGAATTTAGTTTTTCCTAGAGCTGCAACGAATATTTGCCGTTAAAAATCTTTTTTCTGAATGTCTTTTCATGAATTTCTGATCAGATGAATTTTTATGTAGACCTGACTTCAAGTGACTTCGAAAATCAATGAAGACAGTTGGAATTACTTTGAAGTTAGTCTGACTTGAGATTATTTTTCTGCTTTTATCTCCTTGACCATTAATGGTACAACAAAGATACTATGTAAAAAAAAAAAGAAAAAAAAATATATCTCATTTTCTTTCTTTTTAATGATACGAATCCATAAAGCTCGGAAGGATAGACACATCCTAAACTTTATGTTGTAATAAACCTGTAAAGCTGTCTTCACACTGAACATTACATGCATGGACGAATCTGGTGCAAAAAGAATAATCTTGAATACATTTCTGATTTTTGGTTCTCTTACACATCTTTTTCTTAATGTTTGACGTTACCAGTCAATAGAGTTTGAAAAGTTAAACATATATGATCTAAACTTAACTTTACAATAGGACTATTTTCGTAAAAAAACCATAGAAATAATATTCAAAACTGGGTAAATTTCTGTTTCGGGATCGTCTTTTTTTTCCTATGATCACGTTTTTTTGCATGAAAATTTCAGATTCTTGAAAATCATCAAATATTGGATTCAACAAAATAGTTTACTAAATATTAACTAGTACTTAATCAAAGAGACTTTAAACATTCAAAAATAGGGTATACGGAACAATAAACACTCTTTATGAAATATATCATATTATTATCGCTGTCTAAAATACAAGATTTGTTTGCTTTAGTTTTATTTAACAAATCAAAACAAAATTCTATTTACAACAAAGGAAAATAATAATAGAAGTCTTTTGAATGTACCAGCGGTATTACCATAAGTAATCGTTTGATTTTAGCGCAATTATATCGTGTTTCTTCTCTTGTAAAATTATTTGTCACAATTCTTAAACTATTATAAACGACTTTTAATTTGGTTAAATGTGGTACATATGTCTTTTTTTCATTTAAAAATTGTTCAATATAATTAATATCTGCGCCTAACATGTCAAGATAGGTAAGGTAAGGATATTTAGCAATTTCATATGATTCACTACTATTAATATTACATAATGATTGTGATTCACAATTGAAAATACGAAAAGTCTTTAGTAATGGAAAAGCTCGAACAACTCGAACGAAGAATTCATGATTGAATGGAACCACATCTTGTACTAATAAATATGTAACACAACTAAATGTAATATTTGGAAATATATTACCAATATCTTCAAGACGATCAAATGTAAAAGGAATTGAAAAGATCGAACATACAATTTGTGTGTCATTAATATAATTGACGATACTAGCTACATGGTGTTGTCCAATATTAATAAATGTTCGTTGAATATCTTCACTAGATAAATTATGTATTAAACCAACAGTATCGATATAAGTACAAATATAGAAAGTGAATGAATGAAGTTGTGGCATATAAACAAGGATTTCATTTTCAAGATGAGTACCATCAATGAATCTATCTCGATCTTTTATACGAAGATATAAGGTTAATTTTTCGAGATATGACATACGACGAAGAAGAGGTAGAATTGTACTATCATATGACTTAAGTTCCATATAATATTTTAATGAGAAACATATCAGATTAGATAAATTATCCTATAAAATAAAAAGAAATACATTGTAATTAGGTTCGAAGACTAAACCACATACGTTAATTAATTTATCGTATGATTAGATTCATATTTCAACTAACTAAAAATTCCTTTTTAATGAAGACTAATCTCATGATAAATATTATTTGTTAAAACCTACCATATTATGAATGATTGTTGAAGAATTATCTATGTAATGTATTCGAACACTAAGTGTAGTCAATTGTTTGAGTCGACCATCAAGTAAATAAAGACAATCGTCTAACGTATACACATCGATACATAATTGAGTAAGAGTTGAAGATGAGAAGGTAGTTGATGGTAAATTAGAGAGTGTCAAGCCTGGATATAACATATCGAATGTTTCAACAATACTCAATTGTTTTAAATTTTTAAAGAAATTCAAAATATGTGCATACACATTCACAGCATAATTTTTCGATAATCCTATCATTCTGCCTCTATCATGATTTAAAAGAATTAGATCTGTAATTTGTTGTTGAAAGATATATTGAAGAGGTGATTTGTCTAAATAAAAAATAATGAAATACGTTTTTTTAGTTTATTTCATTTAATATCATTCGTTTGTTATTACACTTGTAAAATGGTGCGAAATGATTTCTTTCTTGAAATTAAAAAGTTTCAGTTTAGTTAGATTCGGATAATCAGTAGCAAGAAGTATACGTTCCATTAAAACTGGTTTAAGTATAAAATATTGTACATTATTACGAATTTCGGGTAATATATCGATGCAAAAGCGATCAATCGAAATATTATCAATGGACACAAAATTAAGTATGTCACTAAAGATTTTTTCTTGTGCTAGAATGCTAAGTCGTTCATTATTGATGTTCCATAACGAATAAAGAACATCAACATTACTGAGTTTCTTCAAGATGATAAATAATATCTCATCGGGTAAGTTCAGAAGATGAACATCAGATCGATGCATATTTATTTCGACTATTTCGCTATTCACAACAACAAATATATATGGGTGGTCAATTTGACTGGTACCCCGTTTTGATACAGTCCTATTGTACGGATAAAACCAACTTTTGTCCGGACCATATAATAGAGGATCCTATATAACCCTGAATTGGCCCGAACAACACTATGTTTTATCCTTACAATAGTAGGAAAAAGCTACCAGCTCACGATTGAGGCTAGTAACCTTTCTCTACTATTATACGGATAAGACATGGTGTTGTTCGGGCCAATCCAGGGTTATATAGGATCCTCTATTATATGGCCCGGACAATAGTAGGTTTTATCCGTACAATAGGACTGTATCAAAACGGAGTACCAGTCAAATTGACCACCCCCATATATTCAATCTTATTTCGAATTTTTCTAATATCGAAAAGCAAAATAATTTATGGCCTGCTTATCTATTTATTGAGAAAAAATATTTTAACAAGAAAAATATAATAAAAATGGCAGAAGCAATTCGTATGAGAAAGAAAGAGATAAAAAAAAAAAAGATCATATATTGAGTATTATCTCTAGAAATTTTGAATCGACAATCAAAAGTAGAACTTATTACAAAAAATAGTTGCACTTATATATAAATAAATATTTTTTTTTCCCAAACTATACTTAAATACAATTAAATTTTATGAAATATATATTCACGTGAACTTCTAACTTTCCTATAGCTATTGACAATAAATCTCAATCATAATTATTCAGTAATATTCCCCGACCAGATAATGGTGAATCTGGTGTACAAGGTTGAAAACTATTGTTTCCATGTATAGTTGTTATTATATCATCTGTATCTGATGTATATCCAATTAAATCTGTTCCAAAATATCGATCACCAAAATTACCCAAACCAGGACATATAAAACCAGTATTTTGATCGAGTTGAGTATCGCATGCTGTTGTCACTATTTTTACTGTTGGAAATGCATAAGCTACTGTTTGAACTCCTGTATAAATTAATTAATTAAATCATTTGAAAAAATATTAGCATAATGCTCATGGAATTAATATTTTATGAAACATAATATTGCTGCTCTTGTTAATCCTAGGGAGATTGTTTCAGTCTATCTATTATAGGACATATTTCTTCACTATCTTTCTCCAAAAATGCAATACGAAAGGCATTATTCCTATATAATGTTAAGCGCCTAACACTCAAATTTCGATAGTGATTTTAATACTCAATGAAGTTTTCTTTTATCAGATGGACAATGATGGTAAGGCATCTAAAAAAACTGGACATGGTAGATTTTAGGGTATAGAAAGTTTTCTCTGAGCTATTTTTCATAAAACCATTTTAAAGTGCATAAAGTTCTGAACAAAATGAGAGGTCGCTGCATTTTCTACAACACTCTCTTTAAGAAGTAAAAAGTATTATAAAAACGAACTTTACGAAAAAATCGACTAGAAAACATCTTTTCCTAGTTTCTATAATGCTTGTAACGTTTTAAATGGAGATCATAGAAAATATGGCAATTCTTCTTTCTGTTCAGAATTTAGAGCTCTTTACAATGGCATTGTTAAAAATAGTTCTGATAAAGTCTTCTAGAATCTGAAAACTATCGTGTCCGATTTTTTTTAGACACTTTGCCATCATCGTCTATCTGGTTAAAGATAGCTTAACACAATATAAAAAAATACGTTGTTATTAAATTTTCTTCTGCTATATTCCAGTCTTTGATCGTATATAGAGCCAGTCAAGTTCATTTAGATCGTGTTTCAAAAAAGATTGAAGTATAAACGAACCTTGTTTTGATACTAATAATGAAAGTAGAGCAATTTTATCTTCTGGAACATTATGATCTAATAAAACTCGTATAGCCATTAATGCAGCTGCTCCAGTTGCTATTAAAAACAAAAATTTTTAATAATATTATAGAAAAAAAAAGAACGATCATCATGTACCAATAGTAGCATCGAGAATCAATACATAAGCATCAGCAATATCACGAGGTAATCGAAGAAAATGAAGCTAATTGTTGAAAATATAAAATTAGAAAAAAAAAAAAGATTTCTATATTTACTTCTGGTTCACCAGTTGATTGATTTGTTTGAATTAATATTTTACCAATTTTAGCATCTTTATGTACTTCAATTAATGCAGGTTCTAAACATTCACCAGCTCGAACTATAGATACACCACAAATCTATATATATTTAATATAAATATTCAGATGTTGATTTTTTCTTCCAATAAGTAAAATTTTTCTTTTATTTACTTCAGTATATAGATGTTTCTTTCCTTTATATAAAAGTTTTTGTGGTGTTTCAACAACAACATCCTAAATAATAAGAAGAAGAAAAAAAATTCATTTAAATAAATGATAAAATATTTTAAAATTAAAATTACTTCAAATGGTAATAAAGATAAAGCATATTCGATTAATATTCGCATGAGACGTTTTGAATAAAAAATAAATTCATCACGATCAGTATCTTTATTTCTTAATAAAAAACAAGAAATTAATAAGATGATGAATAATTAATCGAATTACCTAACAATTGTATGAAGATATTTGATTTGTGCTGTTTGTTCAACAATATAAAATGTTTCAGGCATTGGTAAACCACACATAAAATCAAATCTATGAACAAGTTCATTTCGAACTTTTACACCACGCTAATTAAATAATTGAAATAGAAAGAAATCATCAGAATGGTTTTTTTTTTTTCTTTTGCTTTACTTTTTGAAGTTCTCGATTGACATGACGTACAATTAAATCAATGGCTATTTGATTTTCACCGCCTATAATTATAAACAATTTTATTAATTCAATTTTTCAAGATTCAAAAAAAAAACTGAATTTTATATGAATATATAAAAGATTTTGAAAGAGTCTTCTCGATCATTATAAAAATTGAGAATTTCAATGCGTATAATTCATTAAAGTATTAGTACATTGATTGTTTTACTAGAATCGATAAGTTATCATTACTTTGATAGAGAATAATCTTATGGATTAATTATTCTGTAAAAGGCAAATTCTAGATGTTCATTAAGTTTTCAATAGTTATTTTAAAAAACTAACTAATGACTAGGACTACGACAGCTCCAGCTCACGAACTGGGCTGAAACGAACGGATGAACTGTTCAAAAAGTTCAGTTCAGCTCATCAGAACTGTTCGACCAGTTCCTCCGAACTGAACTGAACTGTTCAGACAGTTCAGCTCAGCTCCGAGAACTGACAAAATGTCTCATATATTAGGGATACTCTTAGTACCTCGANAAAAATCGGTATTTTTGCAATAACTCAGGAACGGCTCGGCCGATCCTTCTCATCTTCGAACTCGACCGAGATATTGTAAAGACTGAACTGTGTAGAAAATTTCATCGTGATCGGACTCTCCTTTCGAAAGTTATCGTGTAAACGGCCGGCCGGACGGACGGCCGGACGGCCGGACATACTGACCGATTCTAGAGTGTACTCACTTTTTGAGTACACAAAAACTAACTAATGACAACGTTCTCTGCTATTGTAATAACTTTTTATTCTTTGACACTATTTAAGTAGAGTTGATGCTGAGTCAAACCATGAGAATAAATTATGCTTGTGCTAATTATGGTATTGATATAATTAAATTCGGACGAAGTTATTTCACGATTCAGTTGAGCCATAAATGAACCATTTGTCTTTTATAACATAAAAAGGGCATTCAATTTAATTTTTTGCAGTTATTTTATTTGTACAAAGCTGAAAACTTATTTATTTATCATGAATTATTTTTTCAAAAATGAGTTATTTCGAATGGTTATATCTATTAGGACGAATCCCTGCAAAGACAGCCAGTTTTTTAAACGAAATCATTTGTTTAAGCTCATCTTTTTACTTCTTTTCAACAATTAATTAATTTAACTGTTTTAATCAGAGAAAAATAAACTTATGTTGACATGATTTGATGTGAACCAGAGACTAACACAAAAACCGAGCACTGTTGCTGTTGTCTAATATTGCTTTTCTTTCTTTTTTAAATATCTACGGCTAGTTTTATTCAGAAGAAAGAGTCATAATAGAGAAGCTGCACAATTCTATCCTTCATCAATAATAAAGTATTTATAACCATCTGTGAAATACTTTTAATTGTCTATAAGTTCTAACAAAGTTTTTGAGCATGAAAATCGTGTTAGTTATGAGTTTATATAAAAAATAAAATCATTTTTCATGTTATTTATAACGAATAGATCACAAAATGACGCAAATTGTCATTAAAAAATGTTATTTTCACATACACCCCCAGACCAGTCTTCCCCTCATCGGATCTCAGTCATCATAAAAGATAGAGGTCTACAATATGTGTGCTCGTGCTTAACTATAAATGTAGGTCAATGGAACTACTTGCAACCTAATGGCTTGAACAGATATTAAATTATGATGAGTAATATCTATTTTTACTATAAGCTTCATAACTCTGAAAGAGAAGGACGTTTTAGGTCAAGAGACCTATCATTTATGTAGCGTTGTATTTCGGAGATGAGTGTGAGTATAGAAAATAATAGGTTAATCTTAGGAATCTTTCATACATTAAAATAACCAACGTATATTCACCTATATAATGATAGCTTCTCAAATATTGAGTTTCTTCGAAAAATTGACATAAATACTTTTATAGCATTTTGTACTTATGGACATCACGGAAGACTTCAAAGCAAAAGGAAAAAACGATTTGATAACTTCCTTTATATATTATTTATTTGGTTTTGAATTCATATTGAAAAAAAAAAAAGATTGTTTATTATTTTACTCACCTCTTGGAACAATTATATCAGCAAAAGTCATCGTTGGTGCAATATAATGATCATAAGAAGGTTTAACATAACGTGTATATTGTTGTATAACACCTTCAATATCTCGTCCACGTTCTGCAATATCTCGTTCAAGTCTACGTGCAAGACGAATATCAGCATCAGTATCAACAAATATTTTCATATCAAGAATCTTTGTTTTTTTAATATATAGAAAACAATAAAAACTAATTTATATGTAATCAAGAACTAAAAACAAAAATAAATTACTTACCTCACGAATATCGTTACTAAAAAATGACATTATTCCTTCAAATATAACAACATTAGCACCATAAAGCATTCTCTATAGATATTAATATAGAATTAACGAACAATGTTTTATTTTTTGTTAATTTACTGTATATGCTTCACGAGAATGAGTAGTAAAATTATATAGAGGAATTTCAACCTAATAAAAAAATAAAAGAAAAATAAACAATAGGAATATATAGGGAAATTCATATCCTTTTTTTTTATTCATCATGAGAAATTTGAACAAAATTTCTGTTGTCATGGTTCAATAGAGTTTGTCAAGTTACTCATAAAAATGTTTTTTTCTAACATTTTTACACACTGTTTTAGTAAAATTTTGTTTAATAGAACCACAAAAACCTATAAAAATTAAAATATGCCAAAAGCATTAAGTCTCAATAGCCTCAATACTTATCCGATATTTTTTATGATTTAACTCATCATAAAGTTATGAAAAAGTTTATGCATGCGTTTTTAAACAAAATTCTTTTATTGTTTAAAAAACCATAAATCCCAGTTTCTATTCTAAGATATTAACCATCAGAACTTCAGTTCCGAAAGAAACAAAATATCATATTCAGAGTCCATATCAAATAGTATACTCAATATTAAAAACTAATTTTCGTCAAATTTCAACTTTAGGAGGATCCACAAGTCAAATTATTCGAAAATAGTAGTAAAAGAATGTAAGAATCTTAATCTCCGTCTGATAAATGATCCTTTGTTACAAGGTCAGTTCACATTTTATCAACTTGATATCAATACTGCAAGAGACTCACGCTTCACAGGCTAGAGTAGACTCAAACACTTTTCTCTCTCCATCAAAATGATAGATTATAGCAGCACATCAGAGTTTTTCTATAAACGCCAATATTTTTCGCCGTCTACGTCAATGTAATAATAATATTTTCTTAATCAATCAGACTTAGAAAACATTGAGGTGAGAATCTTTTATTTAAGTTGAAGAAGACCGTTACACTTTGTAATATGTGAGTTTGATAAGAAAGACACTAATTGTATTTCATTTAATTGGCATTCAAAAACTTCTTTTTTTTTTCATTTTAACTTCCAGATAAGGATCTTATAAAAACCATTGAACCTATACTAGAATCAAAACTTTTGCCGCCTATGCTAATAATGTATGTATTATTAAGTTCTATTGCATTCATTATCAAATAGACAAAATCTTTCCTTATCAGTAGGGGCGGTACGACCGGAGGGAATGGATAGATTACTCCTCCGTGTTCCGCAAAATTTGTGCTTGAATAAGTATTGAAAATACTGAGACTTGATGTTTTGGCATATTTCAATTTTGTACAAACTTCTCCGTTCTTTTTTAGCATAAATTTCTGTACGAGCTCTATCGAACCATGACAAAAAAAAAATTCTGAAATCGCCAACACTTTACTTGTTTGCCGAGTTTGAGATTTTTTAATGTTCCAAGAAGTAGATCAAAATCAAATGCATCCGGATGATCAAAATTATAATTATTTATTTTTGCTTGTTCATGTTGTTCATCAGTTAAAACCTTTGATTTAAATATTTGTTTAATATAATTTCAATAAAAAACCAAACAAAATGTTACTTTATAAAATGAATCCATACTTAAAAGAGTAACCCAAGGTATATTTAATTTTTCAACAATATGTTGTGCTACAGTTGTTTTACCACTTGCACTTCCACCACCAATACCAATAACAAAGGCTTCTTTTATTTCACCACTTGCATCATACCATGCTGGACGACCTTTATATTTTATTTTTTTGTTTCATTTGAAAATAATAAATTTAAAAATTAAATAATAACCTGCTGTATAGATTGTATTTCGACCAAGAACTTTGACACGTTCATCAACTGAACGACTTGTTGTACGTAAACGTCGTCGATTTGCTTTCGATGGTGAAGATATTGATCGAGATAATGATGATGAATTTTCATTTGAATTAATCTCTTTTGTTGAATTAAAAGTTACTTGACGTTTATATCCTGATTGTGATGAAAGTTCATTTGGATTTGATTCATCATTATTTTCTACATCACTAAAAATATTTCAAACAATACGTTTAATCGAATGGTTTAATGCATTATTAAGCTTGAGTATTGAAGTTCGAATCTTTGCTGTTGAGTTTTTCATAAACTCTGTAGAAAATTTTAAATTTATTAACAGAGAATATCTTTCAACAGCAAAAATAATGAGTACCGATATTTTAGGCGGACGTTATTCTATATGATATCCGATTAGTCTGTCGGTTACAAAGAAAATTTGATTTGTTTTTTTTTTGTCTAAAACTGTTTATGTGAATATCATTTTTATTAAAATTGTTTTGGTTTTTTTTTTGAAAAAACCAATAACACCATACAGAAATGATGTCTTTAATAACTACTAAGAACATAACAAAAGTAATGACGAAAATATTTTCATTTCTTAAAGAAAGTTTCTATCTATATGGTTTGATAATAGAAACAATGTTCTACATTTCTCTGATACTTAACCATTCTTCAACTAATATCATAATAATAAAATTTCCATAAGACTTGTTTGGTTCTGATGTGTGACGGTTAGTATATTTATTCTTTTTTCTTGTTTCCTCTAAAGTGTACCTGTCTATATATATTTGTGAATATTAAGTGGAATGTGCACTTTAATGTAGCAGTACAAAATTTTCCTTATTCATTTGAAACAGAGATGAACAATGTCAAAAGTTAAAATCTAACTTAATTTCCTCACATTTTTTGAGAACACTCTAATAAACTACAGATGCAAACAAAATATCCGTCTTCATATATATATATATTTTTAAAATGTTGAAGACAATATGAACTAATTTAATCATTACACATCATAAATAATGAAGTCTTATTGAAATTATATTATTATTCCCTCGACTGAAAGGAGGGTCATATGAAAGAAAATAGTTTGTCTGTCTGTGTCAGGGTCAAAAAAACATCAGGGTCAAAAAAAACATCCACTTTAGAAAATTTTATATAAAGGTT